CACACACACACACATTACAATATTTATTTTTTTACCGGGGGGACAGAAAATCATGTTGAACTGAATGAAAATGAATTATTCCAAAAATTGAAAAATATGCTCGAACAAAAATTGAAATTGAATTTGAATGACAACAAAAAATTTCAGCAAAACACTACGGCATGTTTGATTGATAGCATTTTATCAGGGAAGGGAGATGTTTTTTTTGTGTTAGTGAATGACAATTCATTATTATCACTGAATCCATTCGCACAAATGCCCCGTGGCTTTTATGTAATTAATGCAAAAATGATTGGGGAAAGAACAGCATCAAACAAAGTTCAAAACGCGTTTTTTAGATTTCGTATCTCAATTACAATATATGTGATTTTTGATAAATAGCTTTCCATGGAAATTGCAGAGTTAATGAATTTTTCATGGAAAAACGGTGAAGACAGCGATTGAGGTAAACATAAATATAAACATGGAAATTGTGTATATTTGCTTTGTATTTTATTAAATTAAATATGTGCATTCCCTCTCTGTCTCTCTCTCTCTTTCCCGCTCTTTTTGTCATTGGTAAATCAACACGTCATCTCTGGAAAATTGCCATGATGTGGTTACACTTTAACTGCATCAACTCGTTTTTGTTTGGTTTTATTTGCTTCATGAACATTTTTGACCGACAATCATAAAAAAAAGTTTGGCTGCAAGAATCTCGAATCAACATGTTTCATGTTCAGAATGTTTGACATGGCCAAGAGTCAACAACTGGATGAGTTTTAGCAGAGAGAGAAAAAATACCCTGCAAACTTTGTGAGGTGAGATAAGAGAGATTGTGTTACTTTGTTGCACGTCATGCACACTCAAATGTACATTTAATGTTTCACTCCTCCCACGACGTGGAAAAAAGAGAACGGTAGCGCTATGTTCACGCTGAGAAAAAAAAAATTCGTTTTGTGTTGGCTTCTGGTTTAGCAATTATAATCATGTTTCGAATGGAATGTTTCATGGGAATCAAAAGTGCACTTAAACAAATGCAATAAAATCTGTGCATGCGTGTGCCTTCTTTTATATAATTTTGATGGTTTTTTTTTGCAGATATTTGTCGCAATGTTTGCATTTTACGGAGAATACAAAATGCGAATATAATGATGCGAATGAGGCCTTTCGCCGATAAATAGATACACACGCTCCGTTCCTTATAACTCCACTAATTCAATTAAATGGAAAAAGAAACGACGTAAAACCATCGTGTTAAAGTGTAATCTAGTGCTTATTGTTCAACGCCCCAATTGGCAATTGTAATTGATATTTAACGCATAACCCGAAGACAATTTTTCAGAGGAAAATTTCGTGACTTTATTAAAACACTTTTACTTCGAATCATAATATTCAGTATTCTTCTCTAAATGAGGAGAAAATAAATGATTAAAAAGACATTTTGGTAAGTATGTTCACTCGAGGCCCTCCTCTTAATAATCGTTTTACACATTCTGTGCTTGCTTACAACTTCAATTCTTCCCCACGCTTGGTTTTAAAGTCAACACGTTGATGACGACGACAACGTCGATGTCGGCAAGTGAGTATGTGCAGCAGGAAGCCAAAGAGTAATAAAAGAAATGAAAAGATCACGAAACCGAGTTGTAATTATTAATATTTATAATGAATTTTTAAATACTTTTTGAACAATTTTATGCAAATTGAAATCACGAGCTGAGTTTTTGGGAAATCACGAGCAACAGCAGCACAATTTCCTGACTTCTTTCACTTCTGCCGTTGTTGTGTGTGTGTGTGTATGCGATGATGAAACAATACGGCTCATTGAAATGATGGATGTTAATGCGTTGAAAACTTTCAAACCAAACGGCACAACAACAAAAAACGGAGTGAAATTTCCACCGAAAATACAAAAGTTCAACGTTCATGCATGAACAATCATCATTTAGAATAGAACACGTCTTCACATATGTGGAACGATGCAAAAAAAATCACGTAAATTCCAGCAAAACGTTCAATTTGTTTCAACTGAACAGAAAAAGCCACGGCAATCTTACTGGAAAAACAATCAAAAACCGTTAATCATGTTTGCATGAGCGCTTGACCCTACAAAGTGATCATTGTAGAGCCGACAAAAAAAGAAATTACCCAATGAAAGTGGAAAAAACACAAATTTCTTCATCGATTAAATGCTTGCCAACAAAATAAAAGAAAAAAAAACAACGCGATGCGTTAAATCTAATGAGATCGAAACTGACGACAAAAAAAAACTCTTACCAAAGAGAAAGGTTAATTGTCGACAACGATTAAGGGGCGATTAATTCGGTTTCGCTGAAAACGACCAAGTAATCAATTTGTAACAATTTCACGAGTTTTTAATTAATTTTCGGTTTAATTTTTTTTCTTTCTTTTCGTAACGAGTTCATTGCTTTTTTTCGTTCAACATTTAAAAAAATGGCTCAATAATGCGAATGAAAGCAGAACTTGTTGAGATTGATATTGACCCAAATTGATGGCTTCGAGGCACTGTCCGTGCGCACACACAACGTGATGCTTTCGATTCACTCCAGAAGCCGTTTGGTTTTGCTAGATGCTATTCGGTTCAGTTCTGTTTTGTTCTGATTTAAATGTGTTGTACATACGCATATATAAAAATGCTGCTGCACGTGATTCCAAACAAGAACAGTTAGACTGGATTTAGCACAGCGCACAGGTTGTGTGGTGAAACAGATTCCGTGGATTCTGAAGTAGTTTTTGAGTTGTTTGCATTAGTGGTTTAAATAGAATTTTTGTAATTTCAGCTATTAGCGAAACAATGCACAAGGTACGAACGGAATGGCAAAAAGAGGGTAAAATGAAACAATTGATGCCGTATTCTTCCGACAAACACACACACGCTCACGTATAAACAGAGACATTGTACAAAACATGTGATTTACGAGAATTGCACATTAAACGTGTACACAAAGTCGAAACAGAGTGCGGTATTTGTACAGAGCTGAGCGGCATTTTACATATATGTGAAACAAACTTACAATACAAGAAATTATTATGGCTTTACACCGACAAGTACCATTTTTGAGTTGAGGAAAACAATATTTTCCGCATGGTCGTTTTTTTTCTCGTTTTGCTTTTATTTCTTCATGTTTTGGTGTTTTTGCCGCTCTGCGGAAGAATAGAATGGCTATGTTCCGATTAAGGGATTTGCTTCGCTTGTACCGAAACGTGCAACCCATTCGAAAAAAATAGAAACAAAAAAACTTTCATTGTTTGAAAGCATCAAAGAAATCATGCTATTAGCCAGGGGAAAACATTGATCATAGATCCAAAATGAAAAAAAGCGACACCTCATCAACTTCCCATTGAAAATGCGCTGTGTCAAAGGAAATACCTATTTTGTGCTGGCTCATTTCTTGCACTGTTTTCTTTCTATTCGAGCGCTTCCATTTAATTCAATTTTTTCTCTCTTGTGCTAACCAATAATATTTCATTTGCCATCATTGTTTCCCATTTTTTCAATCTCGTTGCCGTCGTGTTATTATATCAAACACCGTCGTCACACCGTATCACATCATAGATACATAATAATTTAGATTGAATGGCGAAGAAACGGTGCGACGTAATGTGCAAAACATCAGCCATGCGATTCGGTAAAATCGCATCGTGGCTTTCAAAAACCCATTGTCTCATGGCTTTCTTCGAATTGTTCAGCATCTTTTCATGTGGCAAAGACGACGGCGACGACGTCGTCAATCGAATACCGTTACCGCCCGACATAATGAAGCCAATTGAATCAGACGTTATTTTTTTCATCGACAAGAGAGCTCGATTTATTTGGAATAGACTCAAATTACGCCGAAATAACTAACCGAAGCAATTGGATGACGCTAACGAGGCACGTGAATGAGGCGGTGAGACACATACATTATGTATCGATGTCATTTAATTAGCGTTTTTGCTCAATTCCGTCGTCATATGCACGAGCGTGGAGAAAAAAAAACACCACAACTATATTCGCATGCGAAATATTGTGTTCGACGAAAAGAGAATGAGTGTAATGGCAATGATGCGTAAAATAGTTGGCTATGAATTGAGAATGAGTTGTGTCTGGAGTGTTGTGTCGAGAAAAATGGTTTGTACCAATCAGTTTGTGGTTTGGTGTGTTCAATTGCAAAAGTCACCATTGCAACACCGGGACATACACCACAAACAACTCAATCGTACATGAAACGAGCAATAAAACAATGTCTAATGGGAACTATTGACTAAAGTATCACAATCACAAGTTGTGATTCACAACTGGAGCTACAGAGAGAGAGGGAGAGAGAGAGAGAGAGAGCAAAAAAAACCCCAGCATAAAGCCATTGTTTTCAAAGCACAGAACTTGTATAGAGAGAGAATAATGTGCCACAAAATCGAGTTGGGAATGTGTGTGTGTGTTTTCGAGCGAGGTAAAATTGGTGCTGGAAAATGCCATTGTTACATTGAGAAATGTTAATTTCTGTGTGCGGTAATATTGATTGGATGGTGCGATTGTACTATTGGCAAATGTCTTTTTTCACCTCAGATATTCTTTGCTATCTTCAATTCAGTATCTCGACAAGACAAGGGCCTGACCCCCCCCCCCCCGTCACACAAACAGCCCAAGCCAACAAAGAATGAAACGAATGGCTGGATGGAAAAAATCCAACCAACAAATTGAATATCGGTAGAATTCTCCAGTAAATAACAACAATTTATTGCCATGGTATAGCGAATAAAATCTAGAGTCGATGATGGCGTCGAGTTCAGCCAACTCACTAGTTCGTTCGGTTTATGCTATGTCGGCTATAAGAATACACAGCTCAATAAATTACGTCTTCTGCGAAAGATCATAAAATAAGATGCTCATAGCCAATTGAATCGTGTAATTTCCGATATATGCCATACAGTTCAACACATTCATATAAGATGTCGGTGTGTTTGCTAACCACACTCACTCGGCTAATGTTAATTAGGTAATGAGAATGGATTGGACTTACCTTTCCTACTGCAACAGATCACTTCTGTCTTTCTTCACACTTATCCACTGCTGCTTTTGTTGCTTTTGCTGCTGCTGCTGCCGCTGATGATGATGATTTTGCTGCGGCGACGGTTATACAAACTTGTTTTCTTTTTTTCTATCTTTTTTTTATCTCCACCTAAATGTCACGAGATTCTCCTGAAGCTGCACGCCGTCCTCGCTCAATAACAAAATACTCAGTCAGAGCTCAAACTTTATGCATCATGCTTATGATATATTTTTTTATTCTCTAGTTGTTGTTGTTGTTTTTGTTTATATGAATACCAAATCGTTTCTTTCCTACTTGGCTCCCAATAAATTTATACGATCCACTGTTAAAACATGATGCACCTCTTTATTTGCAGCGGAAAAAATGGTAAATTATTCAGATCAAACTTGAACGAGAGAGATGATGGTAAATAACATATAAAAATGACTTTGTATATTCGCGCGCATACACTCGTCAAACAAACGAACGAAGAAGAGAGAAAAAAACACCGAATAATGAACAGCGAGCCAATTTCGATCAAAGAAACACTAAACAAGAAAACTTTGAGTAGCACTGGCAAATGAGGTATCTTTTTTTATTCTTTTGCTTCTCCTAAATTTGATGGCAGATAACGAAACGATTTCTTTAGTAGGAGCAGTAACGGCGAAATGGAGAGAAAAAAAACACACACACCACATACACATACACCAATAATATACACACTCCTGTTTCACAACGGGTTTAATGTAGCACACGTAAGCACATGAGGTCGTTCGTTCAGTCAGTTTTTTTATTCTTCTGATACAGAACGCACGTCCGTCTCTATCTTTTCACTGGCGTGTTGTTCTTGTTCGTTTTTTGTTTTTTTTTTCTTTCGCCGATTGATTACTTTTTACTGAATTATGAAAACATGAATTTTTATCGGTATGACAGAGTTTGTGTGGGTTGACAACGTATGCTGTGATACTCATTCAATTTGCATAAGAAAAATATCTGTCGACGAACATTTCGCCGTTTTCCACAACAGAATAATATTTTGCCTTCACTGAATCTCGTGCTTTCTTTTGTGTGATATGAACACATAATATATCATCAGTATTGAATGTTTTTTTTTCTGCTTTCGTTTACACAAATGCCGCAGCTTCCTCGCGTCAACAAACTTTTATAATAGCAGCAGCAGTCGAGTATGAATATGTGTGCATCGTTTGTGATAATAATAACTCTTGCGTGCCGTTTTCGAAGAACCATACGACGAATCCACACCAAAAGAAGATTAAACAAACATCGTGACAGAATAGAAAAACAGAAAATTGAACGGGAAGAATGTTATAACACAAACACAACCAACTCTGTGTATATATGTACTTTGTTGATATCACTTCTCTTTCTTCGATACTACACGGCTTGCAATTATAGTCGACTCGGAGTTTCTCACACAAATTCTCGATTCTTTTTTTCAGCCAAAACTCTTGCTGCTCTCCAGCACGAACAGCAAGTCTTTTTTCAGCTGAAATAAAAAGTTTGGATTTTTGTCGAACGCACCGATCAAATGATGAAGTACACTGTTCGATGATCAGATTCGTGTACTGTAGACTTTTTTCGCTTCGTCAATTCGTGATTATAGTCTTTCGATATGCAAACGAACTACAGCCAAGACAACTTTTGTTTCTCTTCAAGTTTGTTGTTGTTGTTGTGTTTTTTTTTCACTTGAACTACAAGTATTATTAAAGTGAGATTTTGCTATTTTCAGCTTGAAAATAGACTCTTTCCACGAATCTCAATCCAATTTAATTTCACCGCAAAAGGTTTAGTTGACAACGATTTTCACTAATCCAAACGTCTGTAATTATACGGTTCAGCTTACGTTTTGGTAATACAATTGTAGAGAGTTTCAATTGCGATTAGGAAAAAACAACACCTCCTTGAATTCAAACTAACTCGTTACACAATCCACCATCAGTATTTGGTTTTTTGTTAATTTGTCAGTTGAATACATATACAGCACAACTTGTTTCGTGCATGAATCGAATTATTCAAATTAGCAAGTTTTTGTTTCTGCATCTGATTTTGGGTGATTTGTGTTTTTTTGGTTTCTAATAAGTTAAATTGCCCACAAAAGTGTCAAAATTCACAAGACCAACGAACATGTGGTTCCGTTCAATACCAGGTAGAAACTAACGCGATCGTGTCTTTCTCTCGATGTCATGAACCGCCGGCGCATTCGCCTCAACGAAATGCTTCTTCGTTCTTTTGCTTTGTCTACCATTCTTCGGTCGTTTGTACGAGAGCATTCAACTAAACACACACACACACACACACACACACACACACACACCATTGTGTGTATAATGTTGCCGCTGCTGCTGCTCAAGACCTGTGCGATTTCCATATTAATTGTAATTTCTCAAAATGGTTTCTTTCTACTATTCCACCGTGTATTCATTGGGTGCGAACAAAAGTTGGAATTGAGTGAGATTTATACCGAATCTAAATAGAAACGCTTTGAAAAAGGTAAACAATTTTTTTTTCGGCAAGAATCGCAGCGAACTCACTTGTTCGATGTGTTGTGTGTGTGTGTTTGTATTCGAGAGAGGCACACGTTCTTATGCGATTGATACGCTAGAGAAGCGTAGTATATTATTGCATGCTCGTTTGTGTAAGTGCCGTAAATGCTAACGACTCAGCAACAACACCAGCAACAGCGGCAACATCGCAACATTTGTTTACCTCTTGTTTCTTTTCTTCTTTGCAGCATTTCTTTGGCTTGCGTTACTTTGTCGTACTTATGCTGACTTTATGTATAACCATTGCGCATTCATCTCTTGTTTTATGCCCAAGTCGATGTAGACTCACGTATCACAAGGTTGACAGTGCCGCACTCAGGCTCGGGGACCGCTTGTATGGAATGAAGAAAATGTTGTGCAAAACCTCAAGTTTGGAATAGAAACGGTCATAACATGGATATATTCGATTAGGTTGAACTATAATATGTATTGCCCACAAATTGAAGGCGAGCTCATTTAATTTTTGTAGTTACTCCAGAAAGAATTCATCTGTTGCAGTATGAACCATGGCTCATATATGCATATGTCACTATTGATCAACGTCTATTCCACATAGTCTTGATAAATTTTTAAAATATGGATTTGCTCGTATGGATATGAACGCATTTTGGATGAATCGTATGCCAATCGTGTTTAAGCAATGAATTCTTTACTCGGAAGCTATATATAAATCCAATGAAAATACAAAGTATCGACGCAAGTGACGTCTTTGTTGACACAAATGGTAAGTGTTTGGAAATTGCTGTCGTTGTTGTTTTTTTTTTCATTCAAGCTTTTCGTAACTCAATCGATATAATCATCGATAAAGTGATGAATGTTTGGTTCATTCAGTCAAAGAGTGATCAAGATGAACGATTGGTCTAAATTATACTTATCAGGACGAAGATTCCATAAACGTTTAATTTTATCAATTCTACTGCTAGCGATTGGACTTATTGTTCTGTAATTATTACATTT